GTACATTCTTCAGTCAGATTTTCTCAGCTTTAGTCTTTCCTGTACCATGTTTACAATACCCAAAGTGGCGTAGCTGAGGAACAAAATATGATTTTCTTTGTCACAGTGTGTTTAGATAATGACTATAAATATTCATTTTGTATTGTATGCAAATCAGGGTGGATGAGCAAAAGTTGCCTAGTGACACACCTTACATAAACTCAGTTGCCAACTTATAAATTCCTGTTCTACAGTATCTGGTTTTGTCTAGTCTAATCTTGTTTGCATTTTCCAGAGCTTTTAATTTTTCTTTAGCATAGTTATTACTTCTGGAAGCAATTTGTGTGTGCATATTGTTTAGATAGTATGTGTGACTGTTTCCTTTTCTTTTTGTGTTTATCCATGCTTCTTGTGTACCCATGCTTGCATATGGTCTCCAGTGTGTCCCTGTCATCTCATCTATACCCTGGTACATCACCATCATCCCGCTGCTCTCCGTACTCTCTATGAGAGGGCTGAAAGACCTTGCCAATGACTTGGTGAGACCACCAATCACTCTGTAGTCCCCCCACCTCTTTCAACCTGAGGAGAGAGTGGGGGGTGAATATCCCTTAGCAATGAATTCACCCACTTACATACAAATGCATGAGCTTAAACACAAATATACAGCCGGGCTCACACATGCATTTATGCGCCCGACACTTAAGCATGCACAGACTCTTTTCTCTCCTTCATTGTCCTCATTGACTCCTTGTCCTCTCTTCACTGACAAAACCAGTCATCCCAGTAGCATTAATTTTCTCTCCCATCATTAAAGCTTTTCCTTTTAAATGCAGGCGTGATGTTTTGCATGGAGAATTCTCTGGTTAAGTGCATCACTGAGTTACGGTCGTTAACAGCTCTGGGTGAAACGCTTGCTTGACCCCTCTCTATTGACTAATCATTTAGTGGAGGGTATAAATCTCCCAGCTGGTGTCACTGTAGAGCCCCGTAATGGCGTTTCTCCTTTCTCCTTTCTCCTGTTCAACCTTTCATGGCCACCCTCACTCTCTCTCACACGCTTCTTGTCCATCACTCTTTTTTTCCATCCTTGTCACACTTCTCAAATCTGTCTTTTTCTCCTTTCTCGTTCTCTTTTTCGGTCTCTCTCCATCATCTCTGGTCCAGACGAGGAGACGCAGTGACACTGAGATTAACTCCCGACCCTGTGACGTACTCCTCTCCCAGAGGTGAGGACAAAGACTGGCTGATTCTCTCAGGACTCAGTTCTAGTTCCAGGTTGAAACAGCCCTCTAATGAAGCTCTAATGAAGTGTGAATGAGTGAATCCCTAGATGGTCCCTTTAAGCATTAGAGCAGGGAAAAAACAGAGCATTTTCCACGCCTGTCAAAAGATGAGAACTATGACCAACCCCTTGATGACATCTTCTCCTGTATTTGTTTCAGTCTGTTTCTGAGTATGTGATTTCAGATAATATCCTTTCTCTTGTGGACTAATAGTGTACTTAATAAATAACCCTACCCCTCCAAAGTGAAGGAACTGCATTAGAAATGCCATAAAAAAATTAATGGTGCTTTGTTTTTTAGCACTAATGGATATAATTTTAGTTAATGGCCCGCCCAGACATGAACCTGAACATATCATGATTCAAATTGTAGGTCTGTACTTTCTTGTTCTTGATGAAAACAAATATTTTACAGCATTAGATAACATTGATAACATAGATGTGGTTCTATGTTTTAAATGCCTCAATTTGGGAAATTTCAGTCCTATATTTTAAAATTTGATAGTGGATTTTGTTTACATTTGGATAACTGATTGTGAATATGAAATCCGTTAACACATTACTTTTGATCTAAAACAAGTTTTGCATGTATGGTAGCATTGCACGTAAATAATATGAAATTTCAGCATACGAAAACCATTGATTATTTCTCTCTATATGCTGCCTCCTTGTCTGTCCTCTGTCTCAGTTTCAGCACAATGCAGTGGAAGGATCTGTTTGTGGGAGATGTGCTTCGGATCCACAAAGACCAAGTCATCCCTGTGAGATTTTCAATTTATAAAAAAGAAATTAACATTGGTATACAAAACGGTGTCTGATTAATTGTTGATGTCCAACTAAAATAAGATTGCATTAATTATGTATACTGCACTATGTATACTATAGACAAATGTTTTCATAAAGTGGAACATTTGAGCATAGCAACAGGCAGCAGCTCAGGTTAGAAATATTTGAATAAATGCTCTGTAGCTCTATTTGTATTTCCATTAACTTTCCACGGAGCCCTCTCTCCTTTAATTTTGTATTTTCTTTCTCTTCCCAGGCTGACATTCTCCTCCTGTGTAGTTCAGAGCCTCACAGTCTGTGTTATGTGGAGACAGCAGATATTGATGGGTAGGAAACATAGTCAATGTAATTGTGTGGAATAATTCTATGAAAATTAATCTTATAATCATCATATAAATAGTGATAATTAGACTAGTAATTGTAGTAGCGGTACATTTATGCAGTGTATTAAATAAGTAAAAACTATTTCTAAAACAAGAACAACATAAAAAATATGAAATTAGTGTAAGATATGTAAAAGTAAAAATAAAAGTACGAATAGGAAATTGATGAGAAGTTTTAAGATATGATTTTAAAGGTGGTATTGATTTTAGACACCCAAGCTCTTCAGGTACAGTAGTCTGTAGTTCTGTATCCATGGGGCCTTGACAGTTAAAACCTGGTCACCTTCAAAGGTCTAAAATCATTTATACGCTCTGGGACAGCCAGAAGGGCCCCGCCTGCATGTCTGAGGCTTTATGGCGGCTCATAAAAGGGTAGAAGGTGTACAATACCTTTCGGGTCAGATATGTGTAGTTGGGATCAGTGAAAGAGTCGTATCAGTTTGTGATTTTGCCTATTTGTTACTAGGTTTAAACACGGTAAGAACAAGTTACACCTTTTAATGAGTCTAATTGTTAGAGGAAAAAAGCTCAAATTTATTTCTCTGGACTAGCAAACAATATGGAAATCTCGTTAGTCTGAGAAATGAATCTTGCATAACTCTTTATAATGCACACCAGCTGCACACTGCCTTGACTTGATTATTATTTATTTCATTCGGCCACCAAGGCGCTCTGACTTATTATTATTTCTGATGAGTGGATCAACTGTTTTTGTTGATATAACTTGTAAGTGGTTTGGTCTTTTCTTTGTACAGAGAGACTAACCTCAAGTACCGGCAGGCGCTCAGTACTACACACAATGAGCTGACCTCTCACCCCTCAGAGGAAACGCTTGCTGCCTTTGATGGTGAATAAATGTTTTCTTTTAAGAATGTAAATTCAGATGTGCTCATTCTAAAAAAGACCAAAAATACAATACCAACAAGTAAACTTTTAACAGAACTGCACATTTTATCCTAAGTAAGAACAAGTGTATCCTTTTATGTTTCAGGTGTTGTACTATGCGAGGAGCCCAACAATCGTCTGTACACCTTCAGAGGCCAGCTGCACTGGAGAGGAGAGTGTCTCCTGCTGGACCACGAGCACATCCTCCTGAGGGGAACAGTCCTACGCAACACAGAGTTTGCCTACGGATTGACCATATATACTGGTACTTGTAGAAGAATTTATTCAGTTTAGACAAGGGGATGTCAACATTGATTTCTGTGGAATTTCTATGCCTGGGGGAAGTTAGTGAGATGATACCGTTTGTGTTCATAAAATAAGTGCTAGCTGCTGTCAAACTGGTCTGTTGGGTCAAAAAATGACACTGAAGCAAACAGGATGAAGAGAATCCCTCAAATAAGGCACAAAGCCCATAGAGTTGGATGATAAGAGATAAACCTATTGCTAAATGTTTTTGTGTCTACCTATCCTCATTTCACCTTCTACTATGGTCTTCACTTGTTTCAATGACAAATTTTATTATGTAGAATACATTATACTGCTAATTATGGACAGTACTTAACTCTTGCAGCTGTGTCTAAAATGTGGGTCTGTAAACGTCTGGCAGATTACAGGCTCCTCCTGTCTTTTAAGTGATCATTGATCGGATATTACTGGACCAGGCGGAGGTGTCATGGATCTCATTGTTATGACCCTTTCAGTTCTGGTAAAGCAGATCAATAGATCAAATTCTTCCAGAGATGGGTTTTATACCATTTATCAGAGGCTGTCTATTGGTGTGACCCCAGTTCAGCCCGATTATAACTCCAACCCTCCTGACACACATTTGACGCATCCTACTTTGAATTATGCATTATCAAGGTTGACATATTGTTGTAGTAAGACTAAGATACGGCACACATTCCCAGTATTTGTCATTTTCACACATGCAGCCCAAAGTCCTTCAGCAGTCTATGTGAGAATGAGACAACATCACTGGAAAACATAATGTGATACTTTATTGATCCCTGCAAGGGAAATTCTCTCTTCCCACTGACCTCTCGGCAGTGGGGTCAGACACCCCCGGAACTGGTAGAGATTCAGCATCTTGCTCAAGGGCACGTCAGCAGATACTCACTGACACAAGGGCTTGAACTTTCACCCTCTGGCTGCAGGATGGACTCCCAACTTTGCTTGGCCAGGCCGCCGCAGCAATAGCATTTAATAGTTGTCTGTTTTGTACCAGGCGCGGACACTAAGATCCTGAGGAACTGTGGGAAACTGAGAGTGAAGAGGACTCAAACAGAAAAAGTTTTCAACAGAGTGGTGATGGGGGTGAGTGGGTAAAGGGCAGGGGGATGAGAAGTGTGAGGCATCTCGTGGAGTTATTATAAACTTTGTGTGTCTATATTCTGGATCTCTAGATAGTCCTGTTCGTGCTACTGGCAGCTCTGCTCCTTGCCATCGGCAGCGGCGTGTTTTCGAGTTGGGTCATGAGCAACACAGGGGTTCTGTCTGCTCTGGTGGTAAACGGCAACCCCGCCTACACAGGGTTCCTCGTCTTCTGGAGCTACATCATCCTGCTCAGTCCGGCCATGCCTATAGCTCTCTACATCACGTTAGTTCCATCTACAACACTGCACTTATTTAAGGCAAGGCCAAAATACGCCTGTGTTTGTGTGTATCTACGGTCTTACTGTGTATTTGTCATTTATGTCTGTGTGTCCACAGGTTTGAGCTGATCCACACGGTTCAAAGCCTGTTTATTGGCTGGGATATAGAGATGTATTGGCAGCCGGCAGACAGACCGGCCCAGGCCAGGAATACCTCACTGAGTGAGGAGCTCGGCCAAGTGGGATACCTGCTGAGTGACAAAACTGGGACACTAACCCAGAACCGTCTGCTCTTCAGACAATGCTGCATAGCTGGGGAGATCTACGGTAACAATAAACTGAAACCATCTCATGATTTTCCACCTGGTGAACTAATTTTCTATATTAAAAAAAATGTCTTTAGGAAAACAACAACCAAATGCCAAATCCTTCTAACAGCTTTCAACACTGCGCGGGTAGATGGAAATTGATTTTGAACAACCTCCTCTCCTCCTCCTCCTCCTCCTCCTCTGTCCAGTCCAACAAATAAAATCGCCCTTTTTTTTTAATTTTACCTCAGGTTCCACTTTCAACAGGATGTACATCAATACAACATGACCTCAAAATGCATCTTTACAGGACTTTAAGCAATGTTATTTGTCATCTAGGTTAATATGTCAGGATGTAGTCTTGTTAACTATAAAGTTAAGATAAATATTATAATTATTTCTCTTCCTGTTTTGGTAAAATCTACCAAAACTACATCAACAGACCATTATTAATCAGGTGACCTTACACAATTCAGTAGAAAGAAGTGTTATAAACAGAAAGTATAAAATTGCTAGAAGAGAAAGACGTGTCACAAATGAGTCACTTGTTTGTCCGACAATTCAGCCTATGTCCAATAATGTTTGAAGTAACAGGATTGTTTCCTGTCAAATTAAGAAAGTAATTTGCTTCCTTAAATATTAATTTATGTAACAGAGTTTGATAATTACCAGAGAGCAAAGTTTCCTCGCTGGATTACAGAGGAACAAAGATCCCTCTGGGGAGGCGACCTCACATATACCTTGGAGGAGACAACAGGAGACACTTAACATGCTCATATCCAACAGCCACCAGTCTATCTACTAAATATTTAACACAAGGTCTGCCCACTGAAGACAAACTGTAATTGAAACCTTGTTAGAATCACATCAACCATATGTTGTATGTCTGAGCCACTTCCTGCTTCAGCCCACATCTGTTTTCTCTTTCTTTCATTCTAAATTTTACTTGTGCATATGGTATACAAATCATGTATTATACTTCAATTTCACATGCTTTTGAAAGTCATTAACTATAATATTTTTCTCTTCTTTTACAGGTGATGCATCAGTCCTGGCAGAGGACACAGAGGTACCTTATAATTACAATCAAATCTGCATCTTTGTACTGTGTTTGTTCTTTCTTTACCTCTTCATTGCATGTTTCTAACTTAATTCAAAGGTATTCTCTAATCTTCCTTCAGGGTTAATGTTTTCTTGCCTGTTTTTATGTCATAAGTTCTGCTGCCATCAACATTACACTCTGCTCCACCGTTGCAGCACTGTAAAATGTCTCAGTAACATCTTTTTCCCTGTATGTGTGCAGCCGATGGACTTAAGCTGGAATCCATTCTCCTGCGGTGGTCTTTTCATGTCGGCTACCAGCCTGGTGGAGAAGCTCAGAAGACAGCAGTGTCCACTCAGCAGACAGTTCCTCACAGCGCTGGCTTTATGTCACACTGTCATGGCAGAGTGGAAGGAAGGTTGTGTCTTTGTGTGTGTTTGTGTTGTATCTTTGTGAATCAGATCAAAGTAGTTCACAAGTTGTTAAACATCTGGTTGTACTTGAGAGAGCACTGATTTGTTTTGATGGAATCTCAATGGGGGATTTATATTTCCACTGTGTTTTTGTATTACACTGATTGGCCTGATGGGGGTGCTACAATTAAAAGTCAAATAATCTACATATGTAATTTCAGACATTACTCGTCTAATGTTGCTAAAACTTGAGAGGATGGTGCATCACTAGTCTGAGTCTGATATAAACATGTATAGATACAGTTTCCTAATTGGCACAATGAAGATTGTTTACCTCTACCTTGTGCGTTGACCGCATTCCTCCAGAGGCTCCCGTGTACCAGGCAGCGTCCCCAGATGAGGAAGCTCTAGTTGGTGCAGCCAGGGAGCTGGGCTGGGTCTTTCTTTCTAGAACAAGAGACTTTATCGTTGTCTCAGAGCTGGGCGTTACTCGCCAATATCAACTGCTGGCACTGCTGGACTTCACCAGCCAGAGAAGACGCATGTCTGTACTTGGTGAGAGTAGCCCTCTAAATACAGTTTTATAATCTCTTGTAATCTTTTGCACTTATCTCACCCTTTTTGCACTTTTGCCAAGTTCTCCTATGTCCGCTTCTTTTCTGGATGAATGATCCATACTGTTTTTTTTTCTTTCAGTGCGGGAGCCAGAGGGTGGGTTAAAGCTGTACTGTAAAGGGGCGGACATAGTGATCCTAGAGAGACTGCAGAAGGACTGTCCATATCAGGAAAGGATTGAAAGATCCTTGGAGGTGAACTGGAGTTTCTACTGAACCATTAGTATTTGCTGTTATTAAGCCTACTATTTACACAACACTCTGTTAGTGTCCCTTTGTTTCAATTTCTGTATGAGGCAGCACAAACTCAAGCATTGGTGATTTTTCTTGTTAACTTCAGTTCACTATTCCTTTGCTGTCTTTAGGGTTGTGATAAACTAACAAGACTAAGAGTCTACAGCCAAAGCATTGAACTAAATGCTAACATCAGCATGCTAACATGCTCACAATGACAATGCTGAACATGCTGATGTTAAGCAGGTATAATGTTTCCCATGTTCACCATCTTAGCTTAGTGTGTTAGCATGCTAACATTTGATAATTAGCACCAAGCACTAACAGCCGAGGGAATTTGAAAGAAAACCAAAGAATTGGACAGATTGAAATTCTCAGGGAGACATTGTGCTGAATTTCTTGGCAATCCATCAAGACATTTAACTCCAAACACAACTGTCAACCTCATGGTGGTGCTAGAGGTCAGGGCATACCCAAACTGAACCGGAAGCTGTTCTGATCCACCTTCTTGAAGACCATCCCAAAGCTCTTATTTCTGCTCCGAGGAGCCACAGACGAGGATACAAGAAAGCAGCCTTCATAAGTCTTTTCACGCTGACACACCCCCATTATCAGTTAATGATTAGAAGCTGCAGCTGATCAGACTCACACAACATCACAATGCTTATTATGGATACAATTAAAGTCAGAGAGGGTAGGAGAGTCTTTCTGTCAGCAAGAAACACTTTCCATTCATTTCCATTCAGTCACATATGAGGCTGTTAATTCCTGAGCGCCTGGTTTATGAGTTTCATAATTTAAATTTTTCCTGAAACATTTTGCCTAATAAATAATTTACAACGTTCAAAAGACACCACAATCATATTCTGGGTTATTCAATAATGATGTCATAATCTGAATATCGATAAATATAGCCTCAAATAATGAGCAAATATAAACTCATCAAATATAAAAATGGTTCATGTGTGTCTGAGCAGGACACAGTATGAATACAGAATGCAGGTTTTTATTTAGCCTGCTGCACATGTGTGCAGATTAGCTGCCGCTTTCATCAGAAACGGGAATCGCTTTAGAAGAAAGGACGTTTCATGTCTCTAAAAACATATTTCCTCGTTTCTTCTCTCCTTGCATGGTTTCCTTGAGAAAGATGTTAGCGAGTGAAACGTGGATGCAATTAAGAGACTTGAGATGCACCCCTTGATCAATGATAAATAGAGTTACAAAGAAAGGATGTGACCCGCCGATAAAGTCCTGCTGAGATATGCCTGTCAAGACTGAAGTGTTTATATCATGTTTTCTCTGTCACTTCTTCACTTCTGCCTGAATGATCACTCAGTAAATAATGTGCAGCCTTTCAAATAATGTGTTAACTTATCTTCCGTCAGTTGTTTGCCCAGGCCTGTCTGAGGACTCTGTGTGTTGCGGTTCGATCTGTTCCTGAGGCATCATGGGAGCAGTGGAGTAAAACTCTGGCCCAGTCTGCTGCCATGGCGACCTGTGACCGTGACGTATTGCTGGAAAAGTTATATGATCAGATGGAGAAAGACCTGCAGGTGGGCTCTTCCTCAATGTGATTTTTACATGTTTATTGCCAGTCCTTTATTTAAATTGGTATAGCTGACAATTGACACCTTATCACCAATACAGATAACCCTTTGGTTAGTGCTTAATAGTTATTGCCTTTTACTTTTCCCTAAATTAAGTTTCATATATGTGGAGCATAAAATAGTCCATTATGAAAAAAAAATTCAAGCAATTTTAAATCCTATACATATTTCCATGTTATGAAGTTAATCGTCACTCATATTGTCATTCATAAAGCCAATATTCTAAAAATAAAATTTGATTTTCATGTTCTGTAGCTCCTGGGGGTGACAGCAATAGAGGACCGGCTTCAGGAGGGCGTTCCTGAGACTATTGCTCTACTAAAACAGGCTGGGCTTAAAGTATGGGTACTAACAGGAGACAAAAAAGGTATTGTGACATACTGTACCAAGCGATGGGAACGGCACCATTTTAAATGCTGTATTGTTTCTACATGAAAACAAAGCCTCATTGTGTTCTTTCTTTCCTGCTCCCTCTTTCTCTGTCCTGGAAGAGACTGCAGTGAATATTGGATATTCTTGCAAACTATTGGATCCTGATACCAGATTACTGGAATGGCATGAGCTGAGGTTAGCAATGATACAAAATACACAAACACACACATGCACACGCACACCACCACACACACACACCATATCATTGATCTTTGTGTGTTTGCCCCTGCAGAGAGATACTCCAGTCCCCAGACCCAGGGGTCAGTTTCTTCAAGGCCAGACAGACAGAGCTGTGGGCTGTCGACAAAGGGAGGGATGGAGCAAAGACTGCTGTGGTCCTCACTGGACCTGAGCTGGTAAACTGGACAGACAGGAAATAGATTACTCATTTGGTTTTCAAATGGCCAAATATCTGTGGTCATATCGTTTGAACACGACTCTGTATCATGAAACACTGTATTGTTAATGTCAGAGAATGGGATAGGATAGTGGAAAGTGGAAATGTGAGGCTTTGACACTGTTTTTTTTTAAGCTGTAAAACATAACTCAGACAATAAAGTGGGATTGGCAACGAACTTGTTACAAACACCTCTAGTAGATGGAGCCACATTAGCTTTCATTTGGAGTCACGTTTGTGGCTACCTAAGTCCAATATTCACTCTTCTTTTAGCTCTAATTCTGGTCTCTACTAACCTTTAACTGCTCAACTATATTCAGCAGCTAGTCTTTAACTGTGTCTGTCTGCTGTTCGTGGCTGAACAAGTATTGTGCAGTGTGTTTTTGCTTCAGATGTGTTCTGCATCTGAAAATAATGCTGATGATAGTAGTGAGACTGAACCAAAACCGGGCTATAAAACCATAACAGTGGTTTGAAACACTCCGTCGATCAGGGCAACTACAGAGTCGGTTGATTGTCTGTGGGTTTGTCTCTACAAACAACCCCCTTCATATTACACTGAGTCATCTGACCCGTTAGTGTAAACATATTGATATGTCAGTTTTATAAATATATACTGGTAGAACTAAAATGCCTTAAAACAAGATTTGTTCTTTGAGATGTCAAAGCTGTCAGAAACTCAAAAGCAAAGGTCCATTAGAGACTAGGACCATTTTATATGAATATTGGTGTTTGATGCTGTTTTACTCCAGGCAGAGTTTGACCAGAGACCAGAATGGGGGGCCACGTTCATGAGCCTGGCAGAACAGTGTCAGTCGGTCCTATGCTGTCGTGTTACACCTGGACAGAAGGCTGACATTGTCACATTGGTCAGGAAACACACCAGCTCAGTCACCATGTCCATTGGGGACGGTGCCAATGACGTAAACATGATCAAGAGTAAGTCAGGTCAAATAAAAAGATGTTAGAATGTGTGTTCGTAGCTTTAAATTGTAGACAGACGCTGCCTATCAGTATAGTCTGTTTGTGTCCTCTTGTTTTTACATTTTCTTCCTCTATTTTGATCCATGTATTTTCTTACTGTTATCTTTCCCCAACACCAGCTGCTCATGTTGGTGTGGGAATAGCAGGAGTGGAGGGAGGTCAGGCAGTGCAGAATGCAGACTTTGCGCTGTCCCAGTTCAGATTTCTGCAGAGGCTGCTGCTGGTCCATGGGCGCTGGTCCTACAGGCGCATTTCCCTCTTCTTGCGTTACTTCCTGTTTAAGACCTGTGGTTTTGCACTAGTGCACATATGGTTTGGTATCTTCAACGGCTGCAGTGCTCAGGTTAGACGTGGATGAAATTCAATGACGACTTCATTAAGTGAGGAAAAATCCTGCATTTATTCCACTGTTTATTTCTCTCTTACAGTCTCTGTATGAGACTTGGTTCATCGCTCTCTACACTGTCTTCTACACAGCGACCCCAGTTATGCTTGTGGCCTTCTTTGAACAGGTGAGATGAATGTTTTTATGAACTCGAGAATCATATTTTGATATCAGATCATCAGCACTCACATCGGTTCATTTTCATAATAACATATTTGTTTAGTTTGAGTCATAATGCTTCACTCTGCCGCATTTTGTTTTAGGACGTGAGTGCAGAAAGCAGCCTGAAATGGCCGGAGCTGTACAAGTCTGGACAGAGACAGGAGCTCTCCAACCCTCTCATGCTGTCCTTGTCGCTCCTGTATGCTGTGTACGCATCGCTTGTTCTCTTCTTCATCCCGTTTGGAGTCTTCTACGACACAGCCGTTGACTACCAGACCATGGCAGTCACTGTCGCCATGGCAGCCACGTTCACTGCCACCATTGAGGTCAGGAACACACTTTTCATAAGTGAACTACAGAAACTTGCGGTCGCAAGTCAAACATAAATGTTATGAAAAGTTTATGTAATACAGCTCTATTCAAATCTTGTTTATTTAGAAATGATGGAAGCTGCTTTTACAAACTACAGATAGAGTAGCCAAGCATGAGGCAAATTATGATCATGATTATTATTATTCAATTGTTATTAATGATCAGTGGCTTAGTTAAAAAAATTTTCCTCTGATTGTTTCTGTTTGTCTTTTAGATTGTGCTGGTGACCAGATACTGGACAAAGTTCAATATAGCATCTGTGTGTGTGTCTGTGGTGCTTTTTTTCGTCTGTACCAGGATCACCCACAACCCCCGCCTGTTTCAGAAATCACCCCGAGACTATTTATTTCTTGGTACACTTACTCATCTCAGCGCTCGGCACTCTTTATTCATTCCTGTCACTTGAGTGATGTTGCTCCTGTCTGTGACCATTTCAACATCCATTTGATTCACATGGAGACATATTATATCAAACAACTGTAGACAAAAACATACAACCAAACATGCACAAGAACATTTCTGTTGATCTTATTATGTGTCACAAACCCCCGTGAACAGGTTTGATTGCTCTGCGTGTGTGTTTTCAATCAGGTGTTTCTGATAAGGCCTTCGTCGATCCAGTTGTGTGGCTCACAGCTCTGCTCGCTGCTTGGACGGCCGCTTTGCCCTCAATGACTGCTTTTGCTCTCAATGTCATCCTCACCGTCCATAACAAACACAAGGTGAGACATCTGCATGAAAAAAGAAAATATCATTGACACAGTAAGCAAAAGAGGTGGAGTATCAATTTACAAAGGAATAGTTCAAAAATAAAAATGTTGCACTCCCCTGGATGTTAGTGAAAAAAACATCAGTTGAAATGAACCAAACACGGCGAGTTAGCTCCTGTACGTCTATCTCAACCTTTTTTCTATTAAATATACTATTGAAGACTTCATAAAATGTCTCCAGATAATCTGCAGCAGCCTCACGTTGGTGTTTTACAGAAAAGGTTGTATGATATCCTCAGTGTTTTTCTCAATGATGATTCTCCAGTTCTGTGCATCCTACTGGGTTCTGACAATAAATTTGCTCACTGCTGATGACAAAAACCTAAACCAATATGATACTGAATTTGGTTATGTTATTTTGGAAGCTGACCTAGTGTACCAAGCCTATATGTTTTTAAATATCAGATGGGGTGAGTTGTTAACCGTTCACAAAGTTATTTAGGTTTCATTTTCCTAAAACCAAAAGCATGAACTGCTGTGATGGTAAGTGGTCACTGACCTCACCCTGATGTGGCTGTGATGCAGGTCCACAGTGCATCCCATCAGCCAGTGGAGCTGAGGTCAAAGCTTAGAAGAGGAACTTCTCTTCGGCGTTCCTCTTACGCGCTCTCTCAGGGAGCCGGGCCTGGACGCCTCATCACTTCAGGGACCTGCATCCGTAGCACAGCGCCACCGGTGGATGAGAAGGTGACTGCAAGTAATAACCCCACTGACTCACAAGGCCAAATTAACATGAAGGACAATAGTGATGCACCTAACGGCACACAATAATGACTGAACTAGGTTTTGATATGGGGAAGTATGTGATCCTATAGATTGTTACTGCAGCATAAAACTAAAAAGATGATCTGTATTTAAAATTACTACTACTTTTTGTGGCCAGTTCTTAGTAGAGCCAACACTAATCTTTTGTATTTCTACTATTTTCCAATAAATTATATAATGTACAAATGCATTATGTTCTGTAAATCTCTATTATTATTTTTACATAGACACTTTACCTCTGCATGAATATCTCTGATCTTTGTTGTTTGAGACTGTTGTGGTAAGAAATCTAATTTCCATCTGCTGGGGATCACAGGGGATTTCCTTTGAAGATCAAACCAAACACAATAAACCAACAGCACCTGTTTGTTTTACAATTGTTTTATTTGTTAATTTATTTCAAAACACGCAATTTTACCCATATTATCCTTTTAAGTTTTTATTTTTCTGTAACAGTTATTACTCAGATTTTTTTCCTTCTCAAAAGTCTCAACTAGAGTGAAACTAAAAGTCCTCCACAGGCTCTCCGGCTTCTGCAGTGGGAGGAGGGAAAAGAGGCTTTCTGACCAGACGTTGTGAGTGGGTTTATCCCTTGTTTCTGTGTGTGTGGAAGTGTGTGTGTGGGAGTTTACCCCAGGGTGTGTGTACGTATGTATATGTGTGTGTGTGTGTGTATGTCTAAGTGCAATAGGTGGAATGTCCACATGGCCGGTAAATCACAGGACCCGTAGAGCAGCCCAGAGAGCTGAACATTGTCTTCTAGGTTTGGTAGCCAGATTGTCATACCTCTGATTTCATCTTTGGTTTCAGCAAACACTCTCAAAAGGCAGACTCACCCTCTCCAGCATGTGCCTGTGTCTGTTTGTGTGTCTGTCTG